AACTTACTCAGTGGGAAGAATATTTGACGTGTCTATTGTCCATTCCTTTCCAAATTGGGAGTTGTGCTGTAATTTTAGTACCTGTGGTTAGACTCATAAATTTGGAATTGTCAAAGGGCCTCACTCCGATACTTTTTCTTCCATGCTCTTTAATTGGACTGATGATTTTCTTCATGTATCTGTTTACATGTATGTATTTTTCAAGAAGCGAAGATAGTTCTTGTGCAATTATACCTATAATATTATATTTATATCAAACATTCGATATATATAATTTGATGAAAAATACACATAGCTTGTCTCTGAAGTTGCCTTATTGCCATATTTATCTGATATCAAGATCCATCTTTGCTTGTCCAGGGTCGTCTTAATTTCACCATAAGTGCCTTAATTTGCTTCCAGTTAGACTGGAAGTATGTTCCTCTCGCTTGTAAAAGCATGTGCCCTGTGCCTATGTGAATCAATGAAATGGCGTGCAATGGGTCTACCATGAAAGCCTAATTCTCCAGGTTCCCTCATTATTGTCCAGCAAAACCATTGTATCAAATCACATGCTAAGAACATGATGAATGATACATAGAGAACTGGCATGACAGAGTCTGGGAACAAAGTTGATGCTAAAGATGTCAATGTCAAAAACCCAAACAATTCCATACCATAGCAAAGAATACTGGCACAAACTGGAGAGGAAAATCTCAGGTTTGCTTTAGACAAGATGTAATATAGGAGCAAACTAGTAAGGGCAACCCCCATGGTTTTGGGATGGGTTTCAAATGGAGTTTTGTCCTTTCCTTGATAATTCAATTGTTGGAGGTTGATGATCACCGGTACAATAAAGGCAAGAATTGCATGGTGTGAAGAAGAAATATGTTGTTCTTCCGAGAAATTGAATCTCATATCGATGGATGCAGTATTAAATTGTCCAGAGAAGTTTGTCCATCCGCGGTGAAAGAAAGTTGTTCTTGCTGTTTCGGCCATCAGTAAATACTAATTCCTGAAAAAGACACAAAAAATTGAGTAACATCAGGAAAACAAATCACCGAGTACATATGAAACTAAGAAATGGAGAGAGCAGCTTGTCCTTTACCAGAGTAGATCCTTGATAATGTTGCTGTTTTATGCCCCCCATTATATAGGAGTACAAAAGTACAGGAACCAGTTTATGGGCGGTGAACTCCACTGCTTGTTTTGTGCGTATTGAACTTGATACCATCTGTCAATTCCATTGATTACAGCTAATAAGTTTTAAGGAGTTAGACTGGTCAACTTGCCCAGGCATAGGAAGCTGATAGCATAAGCATCGCTAGCCCATTGTTGAGCCCAATCTAAAGAGATTTAATATTTCAATAGCAATTTTTGATGTTGGGTTAAGCTCAGTTAAGAAAAAAAGTCAACAATTTAAATATGGATGTTACTTGCGTTGAAGTCATGGGTATTCGGGGCCTAACCCGAATTAAATTTAATAATTTGGGTTCAACTTGAAAAATTATTTATATTTTGGACAATCCACAAATTGAACCAAAAAGAATTTAAATCCAAATTATTCAACCTAAATTCTAAAATATATGAATGTGCACTACTAGAGTCGAAGGCTTTGGATTGAGATTTGAGTTCAGGTTGAATTAAGATTAAGAGCTTTATTATTTGTGCCGTATTTCAATTATTCATAGTCAAATTGAGTCTGAATTATTCATAATCGATTCTTCATATCGTATGATTCGACACATAACACAAAAAACCTTGTTGGGAGAGAGTGACACTAAGAACACTTTTTCTTAAATAATATTTTTAATCCTTCCAAACATCTATAAATACAATGAAGTTGTATTTTTAATAATTAATTCCAAAAACTTCAAAATCTGATTATGTGCACATACGTTATTTTGAACTACAATTTTAGTATTTTGATGATTCACGTGCGTATGTATTTGTAACATATGTTGTTTAACTAATATTAATCACTAGTTTGTGTTGACTAATTAATACAAGAACCCTTGTGGATATTAATTGTTTACTCTACCTTATATATTTATGGAGAAATTACTCTCTTAGAAATTAATTTTTGATTAGTAGTTCAAAACCATTTTGAGGTCAAATGCCACTCTGAGTACCCGGCACCGTTCCCTCCATAAAAAAAGCTCTGAGTATGACCCGACACCACTAATTATTCTCATTGGCCTCGTTTGATAAAGATTGTATTAGTTAATGCGATCTAATTCTTTATAAGTGGATAAAATATAAGATTAAATATATAATAAAAATAATACTCATCGTAATCCAGTGTTTAATAAAATATTACAAAAGAGTGGGATAGTAGAGTACTAATTACATATTTAATTGAAAAATCATCAATCTAATCTAGTTATGCATGCTTTTGTTTAGTTGGAAAGCAAAATTGTAAAATATATTGTCTAATGATACGGATAGAATATATTAATTGTAAACCTATTTTTTATGTATACGTAATAAAATTAAATATAATACAGAATATTTTTAGCAACCAAAACCCATTGAGTGTTATACTCCGTTTGATACGAAAGATGGAAAGTAAGAGGGATCTTTTAAAGAAGGAAAATAAGAATAATATACTTTCCTTTTTTTGTGTGTGGTTGGATTGATGAAAAATAAAAATGACTATTTGTTTTTTGGGTTAATTACAAGTTACACCCCAAAAGATAATTCGAATCTCAATTTAGACCCTCAAAGATCAAAAATTTTAATTTATACCCTCAAAGATATAAATTTGTATCAATGTGCACCCCCAAAAATCAAAAATCTCAATTTGCACCCTCAAAGATAGAAATTTGTATTAATGTGTACTTAAAATTAAATTGATAAATTATACCTAGATCCCCTCATGTTTGTCACTTAATTATTTGGACTCCTTCACATTTAGAATATTACTCCTACATCTTATGACATTTGTGCATGTGCATCACATAACCCATTTTTGTTGATATGTGTTAATATAGCCGTTAAAAAATATGATTTTATCCTAATAAAAAATTATAATATCATATTACCTTTTATTTTGTGAATCCAATATACTTTAAAGTTCAAAATTAAACTTACCATTTGAATGTGTCGAGTCGTGTTGTATTGTGTCAGATTCTTGTTGATTCATTCCCAATTTGTGTCAAATATTAGTTAAACCTAACTCAACTCATTTAACTAATTGTGTCGTATCGAGTTACGAGTTAACCTGTTTAATTTCATGTTGTGTTTGTATTTGTGTTGATCCACATAAAATTTGAATAAAAAATTTAACGCTAATATTCTATTTTTTATTTTTTTTAAAATTTTTTAATATATATATAAATATATTTGTTGTCATTGTATTTTTATATAAAATTAATGTATACATAATATATGTATATATTAAAAGATATATAGACAAATAAAATAAATGTCAACACAAATAATTAATTTTTCATCCAATTTTAAAAGGATTGATTTTGGTGAGTTATAAGAAAAATTAATTTATCTATTTTTTCATCTTTCTTATTTGTCTTTTTACTAAACAAAATGTTTTATATTTTTATATTTCAACTTTTTACTCTTTAAATTCCTCATACATTTATTTTTTTCACGATATCAAACTAAACATTAAACTTTTGCGTTTTCGTGGGACCAGCTTAAGTTGGCTTACCCAACAGAGTCACTTTCGAAGATACCGACGGTACGTCCCATGAAGTCTCCCACGGTACCTCAAGTCATATACCTTTGTTATAATATATATTGTCCATATATGACATATAACATACGTCATACATACGTCATGCATATATTGTCCATATATGACATATAACATACGTCATGCATATATTGTCCATATATGACATATAACATACGTCATACATATGTCATGTAACAATGTTACAGTGGGGGAGACTTCATGGGCTGGTTCCATAACTACCTTCGAAAGTGACACTCTGGTCTTTGTGTCACTTTCAAACTTTTTTATGGTCATTTTAATTAGTTGGGATAATTTAAGCAGAAACAAAGATAAATTGTTTAGTTAGACATTTTAACTTCAAATTTTAATAATTTTTTAGGCTAACTTATTAGATATTTATATTTTATGAATACTCTAATTTCATCGTAAATAACATACTTTTTTTTGAATTAATAAAAAATTAATTAAAATACATATAAACTGAACCGATCAATCAAAAAATGAACAAAAAATGACAATTAAAAAGTTTGAAAGTGACCCCGATTTTGCATTCCCTCTCGAGGAAGCCACAGCGGTATTTTCATCTCGAGCAATATTGACTGTTCAGTGCGTTTCGCTTCGCACCACATACTCAATTGTTTACTATTTTTACTGTATTAAAATTTTTTACAAGTGACCTTGATATTAGCAATTATGAATTTTTTAATTTTATTTTGTATATGTCCATCAATTTTTAATTTTTTTGTTACATTTAGTTTTTAGATTTTTGTTTAAGTGTCTTTACAATTCTAATATCTTAGTAATAATATTTGAAAGATAGTTTATCGATCAAATTAAATGGATGGTCAGTGGATAATTGAGATAGCTTTTTAATTGCACAATAACAATTAACCTCACATTTTTACAATGGTGATGATTAGTCATCTCTATATACACACATAATATATATTTATTTAATATTACAAGTATTAAGTTAAATTTTCAATTTATAAAATCCCTACAATGATTAAGATTAATCTATTTTGATCTAATGGTATAAAGTTTATACCAAAAAATTTTTTCCGTTCAAAAATATCATTTTCTTTACACGAACCCTAATGTAAGATAACTCAATGAACATACTCCCCAATGTTAGACAACACCGCCAATTTACACTTATAAATTGAGAACATACTCTCCAGTGTTAGACAACACCACTAAACCATGGATTTTTTTTTTTAAAATTGATACATTACTCATTCAATAATGAGAAACATTTTTTGTCAAAAAGGAAAATAGAGAAAACAAAAAGTATTAAAGGGCATTTTGGTTTGTTGTTGGCTCTGCAAATCATGGAAACTTTCCACTAAGTGCAAAAGAAGCTGGGAGGACAAGGCCATTAGACTAAAGTTTCTTCAATTCCAGGGGTGCAAGTTGGGTGCCCAACTCGAATTCAACCTGAAGTAAATCCAAAAAAAATAATGTTAAGGTTGAGGTTTTTAAGGTTAGGGTTTAAAAGTTTTAACTCAAATTGAATTCGAACAAGACTTGGGTTAAGAGTTTGGATTCACGGATTTAACCCGAACCCAATCTAAATTGATGAAATCGGATTAAACCAGAATTAATATATTATATTTATATAAACAACAAAAAAAAAAATATATATATATACATATTTTGAAATTATTAGTATTTGAAGGGAGAGTGAAATATGATTTATAAGGATTATAGATAGCGAAAGAAGTTTACACAACTGATGTGAGACAAGTAAAAAAACAAAAGAAAAATAAGGAGTTGTCATCCCACATCGGATAGACAATTCAAGTGACCCCTCCCCTCTCTCCTATATAAAGAAGGCTCACTCTTACACCCTTAATAAGTTGTCTTAAATGTGTTGAGTTTTTTAACTCTTGGTACAATTTTTTATACTTGTTTGAGAAAAAATGTATGGATAAGTTGTTTACTCTATTAAGTTTAATTTTAATAAAATATATTGTATTTAGGTACAAAATTCAAATGAAATCAATTTTTTTTTACCTAAATACCCTCCCCTAATTATGCATTCTTGATTTGTTGTCATATATCTAATCAAATATGTTAAAATTTTATTAGACTCTCTCATTATCTCTCCCCTATTTTCTCTTCATCTCTCTGTCCCTGTTACTTTTCCCATCTCTCTTTTATTTTCTCTCTATTTATCATTGATAATTTATTTTCTATTCAAATATGCAAATATTTGATTTAATTTTTCATCTCTGTCCCCCTATTTTCTCTAACCATTTTCTCTCTGTCTCTCTCTCTCTCTCTCTCTCTATATATATATATATATATATATATATATATATATTTATTTATTTATATCAACATTACAACAACACAATTACACTAATCAGTTACACCAATCAGTTATAATTATCCTATAATACATCAAACAGTTACTCATGCATTCCAATAAACCAAATAGTTATACCAAATAATTACACAAAATTATGACACTAACTCAATTTGTTATTCAGTTGTTTATATAAACTAAATAATTGCATCATTTAGTATCGCGACATCGTTACATTAATTATATATACCAAATTTAGTACAATGGTAAAGCCTTTTGTGTAATGATAAACCTAATTTAGTGTATATAATTAGTGTAACCATGTTATGAAACTAAATGTTATAACTCTTTGATTTATGTAAATAACTGAATGACAAATTGAGTTGGTATTGTAATTTCGTATAATTATTTAATGTAACTGTTTGGTTTATTATAACACATACGTAACTGTTTGGTATATTATAGGGTAATTGTAACTAATTGGTGTAATTAAATAGTGTAATTATGTTGTTGTAACACTGATATAAGGATAGAGAATAAGGAAATAAAAGGAGAGGGAGTGAAAGAGAGAAAAAATAGGGGAGAGATGATAAAATTAAGTAAAATCTTTACATATTTAAAAATAAATGAATTATCAATGTGAGAGAAAGAGTGAGAAAAAGAGAGAGAGAAATAGATAGAGAGAAAATAGATAAGAGAGAGTAAGGTAGAGAGAGTAATGGAGTAATAAATGATTTTTTAGTCTTTTTTTTCCAAAAAATGCACTTATTGTCAAATAAGTTTCTTTAATGTAGTTTAGCTCAAATAAGTCTAAAATTTTGTACCGACTTCCAAATTACCCTAATGTGTTTCATCTTGGTGGGTTATGTAGGCCCATGTAATAGTCCAACATTATACAAAAACTCACACTTAATTTAAGATTATTGTTTGTTGAGCCCGAATTAAGCCCAAACTGAGTTACCCTATTTCAACTAGAGCGCTTGAAATCAAGCTGAGCAATACTCGAGTTAAGGTAACGCTACGATTATGGCTAGAGTTAAAGATTTTATACGTAGGATTGAGTTAAAGTTGCTCTCTCAACTAGCGTCAATCTGCCCAAGTTGCACTCCTACTCATCTCTATTCAATTTTTAGTGGTGGTTCACTGGTTGAGCATGATCTTTGATAACCTAGAGGTCCAAGTTCAATCATTTCCTACACCCCTTAAAGGCTAGCTATCCTTGTCTTTTTAGGGACATACTCTAACCTAGCTTAAGTTATGATAACCGGTCGTTGAGTTTAAAAGAATAGTTGACACAAGTCTAAACACTCGGTAATTAGGAAAAAAAAAAAAAAAAAGACTAAAATTCCCTCTTATATTTCAGAAGAGATTACTAAGGTCAAAAGTAGACATTTTAAATGAGTGGGAAAGCACACATTTTCCTTTAACCTTGGGAATTAATATTAATAGAATTTTAAATTCTAGGAAACAATGTTTGATCTGACGCGATTAGTTTCTCAGTTTGTCTGTGCTTGCAATAATTTTCTTGCTCATAGCATCAATTAGCTTTGTCTTCCCTTCTCAATTGCTGCGAGAGCTGTTCATTTTTTTTTAACAATTTTCAAAATTGGGTTGTTTTGGCTTGTTTTATTTATCAAAATGTAGCATCAAAATTTAAATTTTTACGTTATAAGAAAGGTGGTTTTGAACTTAAAATATATAAAGAAAAAACTTGATTTAGGTTGGTTTTCAATTATTTTCCATATGTGGTTGCAGGTATGTATCTATGGGTGACATAATTGATCTTTCAGCATTGGTGTCTGTTTCAGCGGTTAAGGTCGATAGATTTTAGAGTCTTTGTATTAATGTGGTGTGGTATAGAGATAGACTTTGCTTGCTCCAAAGACTCAGAAGTAGAACAATCTTTCTTTGAGAGTGTAAGGCAATGTGGATGACTACTATTTGTGCCAGGAAGTGTTTGAATTCTTTAGATGAAGATTGCTGAACAACAGTTTAGACATACCAAAATAATGAAGATGGGGTATTGAATTTATTGCAACCTGATGAACAACTCAAGAAGAAGAAATTTTCATCTGTTAGGAAGACATAGAGATATCCATGAAGCTCCAAGAGACCAAAAGATAGAATCTTTATTCAAGAAGATTGAATTCATCCACTCATCCCTGAAGGCCGGAACTGAGATCATGAGTGCTGGGAAGGAGTTTACTCTTGAGACAATTAAAACCCCTTTTCTTTGTGTGGAGCTTAGACTGTTAGATGGTCAGTTCAAGAACACTGGAAGGCTATGTTTCTGGGGTTAAGACAAAAGTTATAACCTTTGAAACAAATGGGCCCGCTTCCAGTTCATATATATTTGTGATGACCGATCTTCCTTTAGCTAACTGGACTGGAAGTTACTTGGCACATTTAGCCAGAGATTCAGATGCTTTCAAGCTTTTTGTTCTTAGAGAAGAAGATGCATTGGTAGAAAGAACAATGAAGAAAGTTGTGGCTGCTAGACGAGGCATGAAATTTGGTTTTGGTCTGAGAGTTTTGATGGGATTGTGAAGCATTTCCATCCTACATTATTGGGTAGTATGCTTCTGTACGTAGAAAAAACTGTTTGCAGTTGTGCTTCCCTTGGTTTTGGGTTGAGATCTGATTCAATTTAGCTAGGCTTTCAGTACTATGCAGTCAGATTCATAAAAGGCGGACTTCGTGTTGTGTGTTTAGTGATTAAATTGACTGATTGGAAGTACAGAAACTGTTCACAACTTCACATTCATTGTGTGATGAACTTGAAGAGTTCGAACTACTACAGTTTTGGGCTGCTGATGAAAATTGAAGTGCAAGCAGTATTCCATTAGCCTTTTTTTAATTTTTGATTTGATTCTTAGCAAGAAACAACCCTAACGAGATTGGATTGATGTGGAAATTTTGGTACGATTAAGCTGCAGTTTGTGAAAGGATGGACATTCCCCTCCTAAAAATCTAGTCATATGAGTTAGTTTCTTGTTGGAAGTGAAATGATGTGATTATTTAGACACACAAGCAAGTCGTGTTGGGTTTCCCTCCTTTGTGGGACTCATCAATTTGTTAATTTTTTGGTGGCTTACCCGTGTAGGACTCTTATCCAAGGCTTGGTTTGGAGTCTTCTAGTTAAAAAGGAATTTGGCAGCCATCAAAGACTATAAGTTTTGTCCTTTTCTTTGGTTCATCTATTCTCTGTTGGTTTGGCAAGAAGACATTTTTTCGGCAGTCTTTGGTTCAACAAAAATTCAGCCTTCTTCTTCTCCTTTTTGGTGCCAGAAAAATCTGCAAATCTGTTCTTCAAGTGGGTAATATTTCTTCACTTGATATTTGGGTTTTTTTGCGGTTTGTTCTTGGAGATTTGGTTCACTTATTTTGTGAGGTATTTTCCTCTTGTGATTTACACCTTGGTGTGTTTGTAAGGCTTATGCTTTTTGGCCACTTTGTAATCTGATTTGATGATAGTGGAAGAAACTGACCTACCGGTCGTCGTGGATGTACCTCAAGTTATTTGAGGGAACCACGTAAATCTTGTGTGCTTATTTATTTTCTGTTATTTTATTTATATTGCTTCCATTGATTTACACTTGTGGGAAAGCCTATTTTCCCAACATCTGGTATCAGAGTAATTGGTTAATTCGGTTCCGATTCGTTATATTTCTGTGTGTGAATTATGGACGGCAACGTTGGACGTATGGTTAGTTTCAATGGCACAAATTGGGTGACTTGGAAAACTAAAATGGAAGATCTTTTATTTTGTAAAGATTTGAATGGACCCATAGAGGGTGATAGTGGCAAACCGGAAGGGATGAAAGATGACGAGTGGAAAAAGCTAGACCGAAAAGCTGTCGGTTTTATTCGGCAATGGATTGATGATAGTGTCTTTCATCATGTCTCTATAGAAAAATCTGCACATGGTCTTTGGACGAAATTGGAGAGTTTGTATGATAGAAAGACAGCAGTGAATAAAGCTTTTTTATTTCGAAAGCTTGTGAACTCTAAATATAAGGAGGGTACTTCTATTGCAGAGCATTTGAATGAGATTAAGAGCATTGTGAATCAGTTGGCCGCCATGAAAATTACTTTTGATGATGAGTTGCAAGCTTTGTTACTTCTTAGTTCACTTCCCGAAAGCTGGGAAACTTTGGTGGTCACAGTTAGTAACTCCGCACCTGATGGAGTGGTAATAATGAGTCAAGTTACCAGCAGTTTGTTGAATGAAGAAACAAGAAGAAAATCATCAGGTTCTTCTTACTCCGAGGCACTTGTAATGGAAAACCGGGGGAGAGGCAGGAGTAAGAGTAGGATTCCGCACAACCGTGATAAATCTAGAGGTCGTTCAAGCTCGATGTCAAAAAAGGATGTTGAATGCTATTATTGTCACAAGAAAGGGCACATGAAGCGGGAATGTAGAAAACTCAAGTTCAAGGAGCAGAACAAAGAGAAAAATTCAGAGAAAAAGCAAATTGATACAGCTGTAGTTACCGATGATGAACTCATGATTATCCGTCATGATGGTAGCGTTAATTTGATTGGCCAAGAGACGGATTGGGTAATTGATTCTGGAGCTTCATTTCATGTTACTTCGCGGGCTGATTTCTTTACTTCTTACTCACAAGGTGATTTTGGGAATGTCCGTATGGGAAATGAAGATGTGTCAAAAATTGTCGGCATGGGTGACATTTGCTTGGAAACAAATATTGGATGCAAATTGCTGCTTAGAGATGTGAGGCATGTACCAATATTCGACTCAATTTAATCTCTGCTGGAAAGTTAGATGATGAAGGCTACATCAACAATTTCAGTAATGGAAAATGGAAGCTCTCCAAAGGTTCTCTAGTGGTAGCAAAAGGAAAGAAGACTTGTTCTCTTTACACTATGCAAGCAAAAATCTGCAAGGGTGTTGTGAATACCTTAGAGAATGACTTATCCACTGATTTATGGCATAGAAGGCTTGGACATATGAGTGAAAAAGGATTGCAAGTTTTGTCCAAGAAAGAGCTTCTAGTGGGGATAAAATGTACGCCTTTGAAAACTTGTGTTCATTGTTTCCATGGTAAACAAAACAGAATATCATTCCGTAGAAACATTGCATCTAGAAAATCTCATGTTTTAGATTTGGTACATTCTGATGTATGTGGTCCTTTGAAAGTTAGGACACTTGGTGGTGCTCTATACTTTGTCACTTTTATTGATGATTACTCTAGAAAAGTTTGGGCTTATACACTGAAAACTAAAGATCAAGTTCTAGATGTGTTTAAGATTTTTCAGGCCAAGGTTGAAAGAGAAACAGGTAGACAGTTGAAATGTGTTCGCTCGGATAATGGTGGTGAATATATTGGACCATTTGATCAGTATTGCACAAATCATGGTATCAGGCATGAAAAGACAGTTAAAAAGACACCTCAACAGAACGGGGTTGCAGAGAGAATGAATCGCACCATTCTTGAGAGAGTCAGATGTTTGCTCTCACATTCTAAATTGCCAAGATCCTTTTGGGGTGAGGCAATGAGGACCGCAGTTGATCTTATCAATTTGTCTCTTTCAGTTCCGTTGAATGGTGATGTGCCAGAGAAAGTTTGGACAGGGAAGAAAGTCTCCTATGATCACTTGAGGGTATTCGGCTGCAGAGCTTTTGTTCATATTCCAAAAGATGAAAGGTCCAAGCTTGATCCAAAAGCAAAGCAATGCATATTTCTTGGCTATGGGCATGAAGAATTTGGATACAGGTTGTATGATACAGTTGACAAGAAAGTTGTCAGAAGCCGAGATGTTGTTTTCTTGGAAGATCAGACTATTGAAGACATCGACAAGCTTGAGTCAGCTGAGTCTAGTACTGATGATCTTGTTGATTTAGATCCTCTCAATCCCTCTGCTGTTCATGATATTGATGAGGAAGTGCAAACACCTCATGATGGTGCAGCAGAAGATGATGTTGAGCCAGAGATTGAGGGGGTGCAACCACCCCAAGAGCCATTACCACAGACACCGTTAAGGAGATCTACTAGAGAAAAACAGCCATCCAGAAAATATTCTTCAAATGAGTATGTGATGATATCAGATCAGGGGGAGCCAGAGACTTATCAAGAAGTCTTGAAGCATGAGAACAAAACTGAATGGTTCAAGGCAATGAAAGAGGAAATGAAGTCTTTGCATGAGAATCACACCTATGATTTGGTGAAGCCGCCTAAAGGGAAGAAAATTTTGAAAAATAAATGGGTCTTCAGACGAAAGAATGATGGGAACAGTTCTCAACCGAGATTCAAGGCACGACTTGTCGTGAAAGGTTTTGATCAGAGAAAGGGAGTTGATTTTGATGAGATCTTCTCACCAGTTGTGAAGATGTCCTCCATTCGAACTGTGCTTGGTATAGCTGCGAGTATGAATTTAGAAGTTGAGCAGCTTGATGTGAAGACCGCATTTTTGCATGGTGACTTAGAAGAGGAAATTTATATGGAGCAACCTGAGGGCTTCAAAGATAAGGGTAATGATCAGTTAGTTTGCAAATTGAAGAAGAGCTTGTATGGATTGAAGCAAGCACCGAGGCAGTGGTACAGAAAATTCGATGCTTTCATGAGTGAGAATGGGTATTCAAGAACCACTTCAGACCATTGTGTGTTTGTGAAGAAATATAAAGATGGTAATTTTATTATTCTCTTGCTTTACGTTGATGATATGTTTATTGTGGGCCAAGACACGAGTAAGATTAGCAAGTTGAAGTCAGAGTTGAGTAAGTCCTTTGCCATGAAGGATTTGGGTCCAGCAAAGCAAATTCTTGGGATGAGAATTGTTCGTGACAGATCACATGGGCTGATTTGGTTATCTCAAGAGAATTATATTAAAAAGGTCCTTGAGAGGTTCAATATGGACAAAGCAAAGCCTGTTAATTGTCCACTTGCAGGCCACTTCAAACTAAGCTCAAGTCAGTGTCCTACAAGTGATGAAAAGAAAAATGAGATGCAGAAAATTCCCTATGCTTCAGCAGTTGGTTCTTTGATGTACGCCATGGTTTGTACTCGACCGGATATTGCTCACGCAGTTGGGGTTGTCAGTCGATTTTTGTCTAATCCAGGGAAAGAACACTGGGCAGCAGTGAAATGGATTATGAGGTATCTTCAGGGCACTTCAAAGATGAGTTTGTGTTTTGGTAAAGGCGAGCTTATTCTTGATGGGTTCACAGATTCTGATATGGCTGGTGATGTTGATAGTCGAAAATCTACTTCTGGTTATTTGATTACTTTTGCAGGGGGAGCAGTGGCATGGCAATCAAGATTACAGAAATGTGTTGCTCTCTCCACCACAGAAGCTGAGTTCATCGCCATCACTGAAGCTTGCAAAGAATTATTGTGGTTGAAGGAATTCTTACAAGAATTGGGTTTGAAACAAGAAATGTATGTCCTTCATTGTGATAGTCAGAGTGCAATCCACTTGAGCAAGAATTCTTCATTTCATTCGAGATCGAAACATATTGATGTTAGATATCATTGGATTCGTGATGTCTTGAATGATAAGTTGTTACAACTTGAAAAAATTCACAC